CGCGGCCACGTGGCTGCCGAACCCCAGCGCATCTGTGTGTGTATAATCAAATGGTTCAAAGCTCCTGTAGCAGCAGGCAGTGCTTTGTTGTAAAACAAAACTGAGATGAAATAACCGCCATCCTTTCAACGTCCTCCGAGAGCCCGGCCTCGGCGGCGCGTCCTGTGATGTACTTCTCTCTGACCTCAAACACTTTGATTCCTTTCTCTTTTTTTCAAGTTCGCATAAAAGAGAGAAAGCTCTCAGATTGGTCTACTGTACCAGAAGCCTCGACTGGATCGGAATTCTTTGGCCCGCGTGGAGAATTAGTTGTTATTCCGGGTGGTTGCGGAGATGAAGAGCCATTCCACTGCAGAAGCCCAGCCCTCGGGGAAGTCCCGCTGTCTCACGCTTTACTTAAAAACAGATGCACTCCCACGGGTCCCCAGGGCTCTACGGGGCACACCTAGACGCTGAGATCGGCCCCGGACGCCCCTTCTTCACACTCACAATACACTCGCACAACTGGGGAACTCGGTTTGTCTGCAAGGCCTGAAACAAATGGTTCCATTGTCCATTCTGCAAATGAACATCGATGGCCACAGGGAGGTAAAATCAACGTTCAGCGTCCTGCGAGGAAGGCCCTGCCCCGTCCCGCCCCCACCTCCCCCACACACCGCACAGTGACTCAGGACCCACCATCCTGCCTGGCGGGAGCAGAGGCCTCTCTGGGACCTGAGGACCTTTTTTTATCCCTTGTCCTCTCAGAGATACTTTTTTCCCTTAAGAATGCCTTACAGAGTATTTTAAAAACCTAAGTCAGGATGTTAACACACACCACTGTAATAAAAGGCCTTTTACAAACAGACTCTTTTACCAGTGGATCTGAGGCAGCAATGGCCAATCTGACTCCACTGTTTCTCTAAGGATCTTCTGTTTTGAAGTCAACCCTTACAGACTACATAAGCATCTAATGACCCCTAGTACTCTCCTCTTCCCCAGGCCACGAGTGATCAGCTTTCTGTCACCACAGATGCATCTTTGTCTTTAAATCTTCGGTGTCAGGTGTGCATGGTAGTGCATGCCTATAATCCCAGCTCCCTGGGAGGTAGACACAGGACTGTGGTCTGAGATAGTCTCAGGCAAAAGCGAACCTGACAGAGGCACAGAATTCACTGCGTACAGACCACGTTTTCCTGATCCATTCATCCACCGAGGGCCGTCTGCATTGGCTGAAATCACCCCATTTTTTAGGAAATGGAAAGACTTGGAAAAAAATATATCAAGTGAAGTAAGCCAGGCCCAAAGAAACACAGGCCCCATGGTTTCCCTTATTTGCAATAACTGGTATATGTCAGGGACAAGCAGAAAAGGTCAGGTAAGATGATGTTAGCGAAATGAACCCCAAGGTAGGGACACAAGTGGCTTTTTTTCTTCCTTGCTATTGTTTCTAACCTATTTATAAGGTACCATGTGATTTTTTTTTTTGCTTTGTATGTTCCTCCCCCACGGTATAACCCCTGTTTTCACTGTATTTGATGGGGAGGGGAAGAGAAAAAACAAATTGTTTAAATAGGGATACAGGTGGACTCATTACAACAATGAGATGTACAAGATGCTATGTTGAAAAATGAACTTTTCAATTTAGGTGGGGGTAGGGGGTTGGGGGTGGGGAGGTGTAGCTGAGGAGGTGGGAGGGAAGGAATGGTAAGGGAAAAACAAAGGCAGAGGCAACAATGCTGGATAAGAAATGTACTCATTACCTTGCTCACGTAACTGTAACCCCTTTGTACAGTATTTTCACAATAAAAAACTTAATTAAGGCCAGGCACCTGTAGCTCTTGACTGTAATCCTAGATACTCAGGAGGATGAGATCAGAGGATCATGGTTCAAAGCCAGCCTGGGCAGGAAAGTCTATGAGACTTTTATCTCCAATAAAAGCACTAGAAAACTGGAAGTGGTGCTGTGGCTCAAGCAGTAGAGTGCTTGCCTTGAGCTGAAGAGCACAGGGACAGCACCCAAGCCCAGAGTTCAAGCCCCACGACTGACAAAAACAACAACAACAACAACAACAACAAACAATTAAAAAAGAAATAATAAAAAAAGAAAAGCCAGGCACTGGTGGCTCACGCCTATAATCCTAGCTACTTAGGAGGCTGAGATCTGAGGATCACGGTTCAAAGCCAGCCCGGGAAGAAAAGTTTGTGAGACTCTTCTCGCCAATAAACCACTAGAAAAATGGAAGGGGCACTGTGGCTCAAGCAGTAGAGCACTCGCCTTGAGCTGAAGAGCTGAGGGACAGCGCCCAGGCCCAGAGTTCAAGCCCCATGACCAAAAAAAAAAAAAAAAAGTAAAGTTAAAGAAAAAAAAAGCTGGGTCTGAGAAGGTGGCTCAGTGGTAGAGCGCTTGCCTTGCATGCATGAAGCCCTGGGTTCGATTCCTCAGCACCACATAAGCAAAAAGAAAAAAGCCGGAAGTGGCGCTGTGGCTCAAGTGGTAGAGTGCTAGCCTTGAGCTGAAGAGCTGAGGGACAGCGCCCAGGCCCAGAGTTCAGGCTAACTTGAAACCCTATCTGTAAAACAAACAAAAAAGAAGGACGATGGCGTGGTGGCAGAGCTTTTTCCTACCAAACTTGAGACCCAAAATCCAATTCCCAAGAGCAAAACAACACACAAATGGAAATGGAAATCATAGGTTTGCATTCTTCAGGGGAGGGGCTGTTTTTCCCATCAGTGATGATCAGATTCATTCATGTTGCTGGATGTATCAATAACTTATTTGTATTGTTGCGCAGTGATCCATTGTACTGTACAGACTACATAGACTGGGTGCCCATTTACCCAGTATTCTATTCAAGTAAAGCAAACTCACCTTTCAATACACTTATTATAATTTTATTTTAGACGCTGATCTGTGTTGTACATGTTTTAAAATATATTATCTTCTAATGTGACTGGCCTTTTTCTAGTTTTGCAAAATTGCCATTAGAACAACAGTAACTTCAATTTTAAAGAAAGCCAATTTCTTGTTCTTTTTACTGTATTTGTCCTTCTTGGATTGTGTCAAATCCAAGTTACTGCTCTTATACTTTCCTCTAAAAATTTTGTTTCAGAAAAGTGTTTAGCTTTTATATTTAGGATCATGACCTATCTCAAGTTGTGTGGCATGTTTTATACATGTTTTTATACAGTGTGAAGTATATAGAAACAGTCATCTATAAATATTAAAACAAGCTTTTATATACACCAGGAATACTACTTGTTAGTAAAGTTTTCGCACACCAAAAAAAAAAAAACACACACACACAGAAAAACTCTTAAGAACTAAAATGTTTTAAGTACTGTTTTTAGACAAAGTGACCCTTGCCTATTTCCTGTTTCTTCCTGCTTTTTAATTTGAATATAGTAAAATATTCTACAATAAGCAACAACTATCATCATAGCAAAACGAGATCAGATTTCTTTTTTGAGGGGGTAGTATTGAACCCAGGGCTTGTACTTGCTCGTCTGGGGAGGGAACTACCACGGAAACTAAGAATCCTCCAAACGTAACCCTGCTACTCTTAGCTTCCCAAGTAGCTAGGATTACAAGCATGAGCCCCCAGCCCCCAGCCAATTATTTTTATGTCAGTACTGAGGCTCGAACTCAGGGCCTGCCTGTCTTCCTTGGCTATTTCACTCATTGCTGAGGTTCTACTACTTGAGTCACAGCTCCACTTCCAGTTTTTGGCTGGTAAACTGGAGATGAATGTTACAGACTTCTCTACCCCAGGCTGGCTTCAAATCACAGTCCTCAGACCTCAGTGTTCTCAGTAGCTAGGATTACAGGCGTAAGCTACTGGTGCCTGCCTTGCCACTAATTTTTAAACCCTGCAGATAGCTGTCCCTCTCCACTCACCCTATCTCCGTGGGGAAGGGCAGCTGGGGCAGTTCTCTGGCTGACATACCCGCTGCCTCCCCCCTTGATTGGCTGGCGAACACAGCCTCTGTCTGGAGCATCATCCTCAGCTAACGCTGGCCCTCCCGCCTCTCCAGCTGTGCGTCCTGCCGCCGGGCTATGGGGCAGGATTTGCCCTTCGAGCTGCGGCACAGGCCACTTTTGGATGGCGGGACTGCCTGCAGATGCTTTGCAGAAGGAAACATTACTTCCCTGACGGACGCATCAATAGAGTTGTCAACATGGTCTCCCTGATCAGAGGGGACCCCTGAAGTAGAATGCACAAGGACAGATGTTTCATCTGGGAAGATGGCCAAGACCCTCTGAAGACGTCTGCACGTTTGAGGGCTGAGTAATTCAGCCTCTGAGAGGGACAGAAGGCTGGACCCATGATCACAGCAGAGACCACTGGAGGGTTTCCCCAGGCAGCCACCACACCAGCCCCACCAGCATGCTGCTTCAGCCAAAGCCGCCCCTGGGACTCTTTTCCCAACAAACCGATAGGCCCGTTCGTCAGCAGTGCAGTCACCGTAAGTCCACCTGCTGTGGCTCCCCTTGGGGGCAGCTTGAGGACCCCAAGAAGGGCGGGAGAGAGCTCCTCCAGAGCTGAGGAAATGGGGCATGGGGTGTGATGTCCTGAGGAAGCAGCCAGGCAGACCCCAAGATCCTGAGGGCTGCAGGGGGAGCGACCCCGGCTGGGCTGCGGGGCTTGGGAGGCAGGATTAGCTCAGGCTGTAACACACACAACCGAGAGGCTAAAGCTCCAGTCTCTGCTTTCTGAGCTGTAAGCTCCTGCATGTTATGTTGGGCCCACTCGGCCCCCACATGGCAGGATGGGGTTTTCCACTCATCAGAGCCCAGGTGTGGACTCGGAAAAAAACGAGACCGATTCAGGGGAGAGATGATTGACCTTCTTTGCAAAACACATGATCAGGAATGGAGATTCTTGCAAGAATACAGGCTCCGAATGCCAGACACGATGGCGGTGTCTCTCCTTTCCCAGTCTCCCAAGTCAGAGACCGGAATCTGCCATCTGCCACACCCCCGGCCCCCCAGCTTCCGGGGAGCTCCCTTCTGGCCTCACCTGGGCAGCAGGTGCTTGCGGCTGACACAGAGCGCCGTCTGGTAGTCCTGGGTCACACACACTTTGTGAGGGCTGCACTTCACCTTCAGGCAGGGGTCCTTGGACGGGTCCAGCGCTGAAACAAAAGGGGAGAAAAGGGGGGGTTAGGGGCACCAGGCAAATTTCATTTAATGTGCCACTCACATAAATGAATGGAAAAGAAACCAGTTGAGAGGGATGAGGATGGGAACGAGAGGCCCGGCCGGGGGGAGTTCTGTGTATGTCTCCCATTGTCCCCCTCAACATCAGAACACTGACACCATTGTATGTTGGGCATTTCAGAACCTTTTATTTCACTGGAAGCACGATCTACTTTTTAAAAATGCCTTTTAGAATCTGATGTGATCCAAAGAGGCACTGAGAGCTCTCTGGTTATTTATCTGGAGTTTCATTTTATGTCTTCAACTATGTTTTATCTTATCACATAAAAAAAGTCCTCAAAGATGCAGGTTGGTCGGATGAGTTCAATAAACACCGTCTTGTGCGTAAACAGCTCAAGATTCTGGAGAGCTAGAGGAAGTCCAGGGCAGTTTAGACTCACACACAGTTACAATGTAATGTGTATGTGTGTGGGGGGGGGGAATCTATATAAATATTTATTGAGCAAGCCAGAATTAGATAAGAGCCCTGATGGGCATATAAAAACGATAATGGAGCTGGAGAGAAGGAGAGATCCATTTCTAGGGCAAGGATTAGGGAAGCATTAATGTGTGAATTGGATCCTAAGGAAGTGTAGGGTCTGACAAGCCAAGGAGGGCAGGGAGAGGAGGCCATGCGAGACTACAAGGCGGCACGTTTGGGTAACTGTAAGAAATTAACTGTGTGTTGTGGGTGGGGATAATGAGGTGAGAAAAGTGGGTCCAAACACGAACCCCCGAGAGGGTCCCCACCAACAGCGGCTCCCACACGGGGGCTCAGCAGGGCTGCAGGTGGGACCCTGGCTGCTCGTCAGCACTCGGCACGCTGGGCCAGGCCGGGGAGAGCCCCCAGCGGGGTTCTCTGAAAAACAAAAGCAGTTGTGGCACCTCCCAGCTCCAAGCCAGAGCTTATTAGGCAGCAAATCTTTCATAGCCGCTCCCCACTGCCAGCGGAGGCGATGTGCCCCATTCCCTGTCCACCCAAACACTGGGCCACACCGTTGGCATCCTAAGCAGGGACAGCCGCCTTGCTCTAAGAGGCACCGGCATCTCACAACACCACCCTTCAGCCTCGGCGGCAGGCACCCGGCCACAGAATCTGACACTCTTTGGGGAATGCTGGGGATGGCTCCGGGACTCTGGACATAAAGTACCCATTAGCATTTCTGTTGCCTGGGCAGCTCAGCACGGCTCCTCGAGGTACCAACTGCGAACAGGAACCAGGGCACTTTCTTAGGTCAGCGGAGACAAGAGGACAAGTGGCAGAGCTACTGCCCAAGACACATGCTCTAATGTCTAGACTCTAGTAGAGAGAGAGCCAATGAGAGAGAGAGAGAGAGAGAGAATGCACCCCGAGGATGGCTGATCATTCTTGCTCTTTAAGCTGAGGGCCACCTCTGGGAAGCAGGAAGCAGAGAGGACATGTCTTAGCACTGGCGTCCTCCGAGACCAGGCCTTCCAGACATTTGTAGGTAGAGCTAGGTTCTCAGCCAGGGGGTGAGAAGGCTGAGAAGCTGGGAGGCTGGGGCTGACTCAGCTGGTGGCCTTCACTTGCTTTCCAAGTCCCTTCCAGAATGGACTGGGGTGGACGGACAGTCTGATGACCGCTAAACACCAGCTATGCGGATCCTCGTCTCCCCTTCTGTAGTGCCACCTGCCATGCTGGGAATCTAAGGAAGCCTGAGGAACCACCGCTGGTGGCTCTGCTGACACACTTCTCTGACAGGTGCTTGGGTGCCGCTCTGGTGGTGTCTCAGAAATGGAGATCACCAGGCTGACTCTGGATGATGGGTGGGTGTGTCAAAACCTGCCCTACTGTGTGGTAAGTCTTAAGGCTTATTTTGGCATCTTTTTGCTCCTGTAGCCAACACCCCGAGGTCCACTGGGCCCGTCGGTTGGCCTGAGTGATGGTAAATCAGTTGCATGGCAGAAAAGAGCACAGATGTACAGCTCGGGCCTCTGGCTCTGCTGCTTATTAATGTCTCACATTCCCCCACTCCCTCCTCTGCAAAGGAAGGAAAAAGAATACCTATGAACACTAAGTGCACTAAATGAGTTGATGTTTGTTGCAATAGAGCTGGTAGATGTTAAGCACCTGGTACGTGTTATGGGTTACAGGTGTTCATGTTGTTCTCTGAGTGAATAATGAGCGTTGTCATTGCGGGAACAACAGTCAGCACTCACCAAGGGCTTCTGACACACAGGCAGTGGACTAAGCCCTCTAATTGGATTAGCTCATGTAATCCTTACAAGCAGCCAGGGAGAGCCTGCTGCAAATGCACCCATTTTGCAAACACACCTCTTCAAGAGAAGCTGAGGCTGCCCGGTGCCGATGGAGCTACAAGTCTGCTCTGAGAACCCGAATGCTCATTATAAATACACCGTCAGCATGGGATGCAAGGATGAGCTCGGCTGATCTAGAGGATGGATGGAGGCACACACAGCGCTCAGCTGGCCCCGTCTCCCCTCGCTGCTCAGGGCTGCAAGGCAGGGGAAACACACCCTTCTGGGACTGGTCAGAAGCAGCAGTACTGGGTGCTCAGCCGTGAACCACACCATGTGCCTCTCCCCTCCCCCTGGCTGAGTCACCTGACCCACGGCTGGCCAGGAGTGCTCCAGCCATCTGGCGATGTGGCTTCCTACTGTAGATATCCCTTCTGATCTGGGAAACTAATGGTTCTTAACCAACAAACAACTAGAAAATCTCCAAAGGAAAATACTCATTCTTCAGCATTGCCGGCTTAACGCCATACACATATTTAACGATCTGCATACAGAGATCAGGTCTGCTAAAAAAAATTAATTATGAGGGTCTGAATACTTCAAACATGCAGGAGAATTACTGAGAGTAAATGAACTTCACAGAACAACAAAACAGTAACAAATCAAGCTGTCACTGCTTGTTTAATCATCAGAACACGTTTTGTTTTTGAAAAATAGCAATCCAGGGATTGTAAGGGGATGAGGAGTGTGTCACTTTCTGTGAAACATACAGCTCAGAGAGATGCTCCCCCCCCCACTGCCACGGGCTCACAGTGAAGCCCTGGACAGGCCTGGCACGGGCACTGGGCAGGGCTATGTAGCTCCTCTTTTCAAAAGCAATCATAAGAGACCAGGACCGTTTGGCACTGAGAAGTCCTTGAGGGGTGGGGAGGGGGTGCGCAGGTAGGGAGGCAGGGAACGAGAGCTGAGAATCAGTGATGGTTGCCAGCTGGTTTGAGGCCTCCTGGTCACGGCACTGATTTCTTGGAGATGGTGGGTGCTCCACATTCTAATTTCCCTCTGCCCGTACTCGAGCACAAGGTACAGCAGTCCCGAGGGGACCACAGAGCCCTGTCCCACGACCTCGGTCAGGCCACGTCGGCAGGGCAGGGGAACGCGCCCACCACTGCAGAGGGGCTGTCAGAAGTTAACTTCCTTTTTCCTGCAGAAACCCATCCAGGCAGTGGGTACACATCCCATTTATGCTTTTCAAAGTATTTTTGACAGAAACTTTTTACTTTTCTAAAGTAACAAAAACAGCTAAGCAAGAACTAATTTAAAGAGACATTGGTTGAGCTGCATTGAATTCAAAAAGCCAGTTAATTAATGTCTCGGCATAGGTTTTTTTTTTAATTAATTTTATTTTTTAAAGCTCACTGCTTGGTTGCAATTAAGGTGGCGATATTTTAATTATCTTAATTGTTTCTGAACTTGTTTTTCCGTTCAATGAGTTATTTTTTAATTAGCTACATTGATTTGGAAATCCGGAGGTAAGCCTTCCCGTCGTCCTTGAGCAAATCCTACAGGCTAACTGCACACAGGGTCACGGAGCCGCACAACAATGAAGCAGCTCACCGTCACGTCAGCGGTGCTGGGCAGAGGGCGGTTCTACTCTGTGGGTTGGTCCAGAGGGTCCCTGGGTCACCCGGCACTCACACACGCCTGTGTGTATCCAGTGAGTGTATACAGAGCATCCTTCTATGGGTGGAATCTTTGTAGCCCAGAGGCCAGCACTTCTGGGGTCAACCAGATGTCCTCTCTGCTCTGCAAGGGTCACAACTGGAGAGGACCCAGCCCAGCCTTCTAGAAAGTCAGCAGAGACTTCTAGAAAGACTGACATGAATGGGAAAGGAGGTTTAAACAGGGCAAAGCACAATAATCCAGGGTCAGCCAGGGCCAAGAGAGACCTGATAGCATGGTTTGGGGGGTGGACAGGGGATGCGTTTGACCAGACTGGTAGCTGGCTGGAGAGGTCCTAGGGGGTCATGGTCACGGGGGAGCCTTGAAACCACAGCGAGGCCCACGAGGAAACAAGTCTCCAAGTTCCACAGTGACTCCAAACATGGCAGAACCCGGCAGCTTCTGGCACACATTCCTATTTCCAAGTTAAATAAGAGAGAAGGCAGGAAGAGGGTGCCACGAACGTTATGTGGACAGTCACACTCTGAGAAGGACAGGTTACATAGCGTCATCCTCCAAGGGAGGATAGAAGGTCTGCGGTCAGCTCTTAGAGTCTCCTTTGCTCTTCCCTCTCCCCAGGGGTAGGAAGCCACACAGGGCTGGCGGATACAAGGCAGCTTCCGAGACCAGCAGGAAGAGACTCGGTGTGAATTCACAGTCCAGCCCGGTGGCACCTCGAAGCTTCCTCAGACAGAGGGTCGCTCCATTTGGAAAATGTCTACACTTTCACGAGGGTCTGCTGACTCCTCCCAACCTCTGCCATGACTCAGTACCCCCGTCCCACGCACCTAGGATTCATCCAAAGAACAGACGTGCCCAGGGATGCCTGGGGAGAGACCGCATGTAAGACTGCCGGAGCAACGACTCCAGACCTGGAAAAGCTCATCCGGCTGGGATGCTAGCTATTTCTTTCTGCTTGTCTGTCCCCATGGCAACTCGTGGGGCTGAATCCTGCCTCCGATCTCCTCTCCGGAGCGGCCTGTTCACCAGCTGATGA